TCCTCCTCCTCCTCCTCCTCCTCCTCCTCCTCCTCCCCCTCCTCCCCCTCCTCCTCCTCCCCTCTCCTCCTCCTCCTCCTCATACATCCTCCTCCTCCTCCTCCGCCGCTCCTTACTCCTACCTCCGCCTCCGCCTCCGCCTCCTCCTCCCATCCTCCTCCTTTCCTCCTCCGCTTCCTCCTTCTCCTCCTCCTCCTCCTCCTCCTCCTCCTCCTACTCCTCCTCCTCTTCCTCCTCCTCCTCCCTTCAATCCATCAGCCTCCTCCTCCTCCTCCTCTGTTCCTCCTCTTCCTGCTCCTCCTCCCCCCCCCCCTCCCCCCCCCTCCTCCGCCGCCTCCTCCTCCTCCCCTCCACTGCCATCCTGCTCCTCTCTGCTCCTGCTCCTGCTCCTCCTTCTCCTCCCCCTCCTCTTTCCTCCTCCTCCTCTCAATCCTCCTCCCTCCTCCTCCCTCTTCCTCCCTTTCCTCCTCCTTCTCACCCTCGTCACCCTCCTCCTCCTCACATCATCATCCTCCTCCTCCTCCTCCCCCCCTCCTCATAACTCTCCTCCTCCTCCTCTCCTCCTCCTCCTCATCCTCCTCCTCCTCCTCCTCCTCCTCCTCCTCCTCCTCATCTTCATCATCATCATCCTCCCCCTGCCCCTCATGTTCCTCGCATTATCATTATGTCTCTTAGTGGTATCAGCATTGTCATTAGTGCTAGCACCATTGTTCTTAGTATTAGTATTCGTATTCGTATTCGTATTAATAGTCTCCGTGTAATTGAGATTCTTAGTATTTTTAGTATGCTTATTCTGATGTCATTAATATTATTATTCCCGTTCAGAACAATAACCTCTGTAATGCTAGTATAATTCGTCGCCGTCGTCTTTCGAGTATTATTATTAGTCTCGTTAATACTTATATTAATGTAAGTTATATTCTTCTTCAGTGTATTAGTCTTCTTCTTAATATTAGCATTCGTAGTCATATTCTTAATCGTAGTCATATTCTTCTTAGTATGATTCTTATCCTGCTTCTGAATATTCATAAAACTATTACTAATACAAAATAATATTTTTATTCGTATTATTATTGTTCCTCCTCCTCCTCCTCATCCTCCTCCACCGCCTCCGCCTCCTCCTCCGCTTCCTCCACCTCCTCCTCCTCCTCCTCCTCCTCCTCCTCCTCCTCCTCCTCCTCCTCCTGTTCCGCCTCCTCCTCCTCGTCCTCGTCCTCCTCCTCCTCCTCCTCCTCCTCCTCCTCCTCCTCACTCCTCCTCCTCCTCACCCCTCTTCACCCGCCTCCCTCCCGCCTCCTCGTCCCTCCTCCTCCCCCTCCTCCTCCTCCGGCCGCCTCGCCTTCGGCCTCCGCCTCCTCCGCCTCCTCCTCCTCCTCTCCTCCTCTCCTCCTCCTCGCCTCCCCCGCCTCTTCCGCCGCCTCACTCCTGCCCGCCTCTTCCTCCTCCTCCGCCTCCTCCTCCTCCGCCGCTTCTCATCTCCTCCTCCCGCTTCCTCCTCCTGCACCTCCGCCTCCTCCTCCTCCGCCTCCTCCCCCCCTTCCTCCTCATCCTCCTCATCCTCCTCCTCGTCGTATTATCGTATTCTTACCATTAACAATATAAGAATCAGCATCCTTATCAGCATTATTATTAGTAGTAGTACTACTGTGTTGCTTAGTGTCATCATTAGCAGTGGTACTTAGCACGACTAATACTGTAACGAATACAAGTGTTTGTCTCACTAGTAGAAAAACTAGTTGCCGTAGCTTCGTTATTAGTGATGGCATTCATAGTATTAGTAGTTTTGCTATTCGTACGTAGTATCAGCATGATTAGTACTAGTATTAGTAATCGTCATCTTAGAAGTCGTCGCATTCTTACGAGTATGATTAGTGCGCTTACCACTGTTACTCATAATCGTCTTCTTAAGGTGATAATATAAGTGATTAGTATGATTATTCATGCTTTTACTGCCAATACTCATCTTCTTCTTAATAATAGTAATCTTCTTACAAGTATTCTTAATAGTAGTATGACTCTTGTTGTTAATACTATCCCTCCTCCTCCTCCTCCTTCTCCTCCTCCTTCCCCCCCTTTTTTTTTTTTCCTCGTCCTCCTCCTCCTCCTTCTCTCCATTTCTTTCTCTCCTTCCTCCTCCCTCCTCCCCCTCCTCCTCCCTCCTCCTTTCCTTCCCTCCGCCTCCTCCCTCCTCCCCCTCCCTCCCCCCTCCTCCCTCCTTCGTTTTCGCTTCGCTCTCGTGGGAACGCCAGTCAGTGCCTGAAGCGCCCCAAACAACACCGCGGGCCGCCACCGCGCGGGCCCGCTCACACCTTGGAGGTGGGTGGAGAACCCTCCCCGGTCGGGGAGGCTGAGGGGGGGGCCCCAGCCGGGGGGGCTGAGGGGGGCCTGACGGAGACCTGCGCAACCAGGCAGGGCAAGAAGAGAGGCACGGCCGAACTGGCCCCCCGGACAAGACTCCCAGGCGAGGGACCCCCGGCCAGGAAGGCCTTAATCGATTTGCTCGTGCATGAATCCCACCCTCCCTCCTCCTCCTCCTCCTCCCTCCGCCTCCCTCCTCCTCCTCCCTCCTCCCTCCTCCTCCCTCCTCCCTTTCCTCGTCCCTTCCCTTCCTCCTCCTCCCTACTCCTCCTCCTCTCCTCTCCTCCTCCTCCTCCTCCTCCTCCCCTCATCATCATCATCATCATCATCATCTCCTCATCATCCATCATCATCATCATCATCAGCATCACCACCACCACCACCATCATCCATCATCATCAGCGCACAGCATCACCCTCAGCATCAGCATCAGCATCACATCACAATCAGCATCATGATCATTCCAAATCCCCCCCCCAAAAAATCCCAAAAAAAAAAATCTCATCAATCTCATCATCATCATCATCAAGCATCATCATCCTTGCCTCCTTGTCTCTTTCCTCCGCCTCCTCCTTCTCCTCCGCCTCCCCCTCCCCCTCCTCCTCCTCTTCCTCCTCCTCATCATCAGCATCATCATGCGTATCATCATCATCATCATCATCATCATCATCATCATCATCATCATCATCATCATCATCATCATCATCATCATCATCAATACCATCATCCATCTTTTATCATCATCATTACCATCAGCAGCATCAGCTTCATCGTCGTCGTCAGCATCATCAGCATCATCGTCATCATCAGTATCATCATCACAATCACCATCATCATCATCATCAGCAGCATCATCATCCTCATCGTCATCATCACCATCATTACCCTCTTTCTTCTTTTCTTCATCATCATCACCAGAATCATTATCCGCATCATCATCATGACCATCATCATCGTCAGCATCACCACCGCCACCACCACCACCATCATCATAATCAGCATCATCAGCATCATCATCAGCATCATCAACATCCTCATCATCATTATCATCATCATCATCATCATCATCATCATCATCATCGCCATCATCATTATAATCATCAGCATCATCAGCATCATCAGCATCATCTTCACAATCCCCATCACCATCATAATCAGCAGCAGCATCATCATAATCATTCTCACCCTCATCCTCGTCATCCTCGTCGGCCTTGTCGTCGTCAGCAGCAGCATCATCAGCAGCATCATCATCAACGTCATCACCAGCATCATCATCATCATCAGCATCATGATCATCATCAGCATCATCGTCAACATCATCATCGTTACCATCGTCATCATCAGCATCAGCATCAGCATCATGATCATCATCATCATCACCGTCATCGACATCACCGTCGTCGTCATCATCATCATCACCACCATCATAATCATCGTCGTCATCATCGTCAGAATCATCATCATCATCAGCAGCAGCAGCATCATCATCAGCATCATCATCATCATAATCATCATCAGTTCAATCATCATCATCATCATCATCATCATCAACAACAACAGCAGCAGCAGTATCATCGTCATCATCAGCACTGTCATCATGATCATCATCATCGTCATCATCATCGTCATCATCAGCATGAGCATCATCAGCATCAGCATCATCATCGGCATCATCAGCATCAGTTTCAGCAGCATCAGCATCATCATCATCAACATCATCATCAGCACAACCAGCTTCATCATCAGCAGCATCGTCATCACCAACATCTCATCAATAAAACAGCATCATCATTAGCGACAGCAGCATCATCATCATCATCATCAGCATGAGTACCAGCATCATCATCAGCACCAGCAGCATCATCAGCGTCATCATCATCAACAGCGTCATCGTAAACAGAATCAGCATCATCAGCATCGTCATCAGCATCATCATCATCAACATCATCATCATCATCATGGCATCATCGCCATCATCATCGTTAGCATCATTAGCATACTTCTCCTCACCATTACCATCCAAATAAAAATCATCATCACCATCAGCATCATCAGCATCATCATCCCCATCCACATCATCATCATCATCATCATCATCATCATCATCATAATCACCATCAGTATAATCATCATCATCATCATCATCATCACCATCATCATCATCAGCATCATCATCATCATCATCATCATCATCATCATCATCATCATCATAGTAAGCATCCTCATCGTCACCATCATAACCAGTAGCAGCATCATCATCAGCATCAGCACCATCGTCGTCATCAGCATCATCACCAGCCCATCATCATCATCATCATCATCATCATCATCATCGTCAGCAGCAGCAGCAGCATCAGCATCATCATCATCATCATCATCATCATCATCATCATTCCTCCTCCTCCTCCTCCTCCTCCTCCTCCTCCTCCTCCAGCTCCGTGTCTGCAGGCCTCCCAGATGGGGGAAAAGTAGATGGGGTCGGAGGATCGCGCCGCATCGTCGATGCATCACCGCTACATCGGCGATGCAGTGGCGACGTCGACGATCATCGGGGGCCGCATCGTCGACACATCAGCGATCCGATCCAGCGCGATCCTCCGACCTGATGTCCCTGGATCATTCCCCCTCTTGACGGCGACGGCCTCGAACCACTCGCGGCTGTCGACTATCACCGCCGCGCACGCGTCTACCTCCGCAGGGAGGGGGTGGCCAGAGGGGGAGGGGGGAGGAGGAGGAGGAGGAGGAGGAGGAGGAGGAGGAGGAGGAGGAGGAGGAGGAGGAGGAGGAGGAAGAGTAGGAGTAGGAGAAGGAGCCGCTGATCCTCTGATCCTCGAACGCGAATTCCTGCTGCTGGGCAGGCAGCTCCAAGCACATCATCCCAAGTCGGGGAAGCACGTGCCCGACCGCGGGGCGAGGTCTTCTGAGCCTCGACAACACCTCGCGCCCAAATCTGGTGGGCACCAGGCAAAACTTCTTCAACGTGCGCGGTAGCATAATTGTGCAAAAACCACCGCAAGTCGCACATTAAAGCACCCCACGGTACACCGCGAGATGGGAGGAGGTGTCGCATCGGTCGGCCAACGGATGGCTGGGAGCACCTCCGCACGCACCAGACGGGACCACATCGTCGGGGGCGAGGTCAGGACCGTGTCGACTCCTCTCCTCACGACGTAGAAACAACTGCACTCGCTGCTGGATGACACATCGCGGCTTACAGGGGCCGGGCCCAAATTCACTCAATGGCCCTCTTGAAATCAAAACTCTTGGCAGAGCTTGGGAACGACACATCTGCAGCAATGGTGGGCTGGGTACAGAAGAAGAGACCACTGCAGTAAGAAACTGTCGGAGGTCCGCACGGATTCCTTGGATCGGCGCTGGACCCCCCCCTCCCCGGCGAGCGGAGCGCGCCAGGGGCGGCGCCGGAGGCGCCGCCACTCTCCTTCCCTGCGGGCGGGCGGCCTGTCGCGCACGAGCCACTGAAACCGGGGAGGCCCTGCGAGACGCCTGGGAAGCAGCGGGAGCTCGGGGAGACCTCGGCAGGCACGGGGAAGCCCTGCGCCCAGGGGGGGAGGGGCTTCCCCTCGTGGAAGCTCATGGGGAACCCTGGGAGGGCGCTACACTGAAACCCTGGGGCCCCCTGAGAAACCTTGGGAGGCCGCGTCGGGAGGCCGCGGGATCATGGCGGGACCCCGCGGGAGCCCCCGGCAAGACGAAGGCATTGAAAAAGCCTGGGCCAGAGGAAGACTGCACAGACATTGACTTGCGACGGTTCGCGCTGCTTTTTTGGATTGGCGCTGGGCCCGCCTCCCTGGCGTGCGGAACGCGCCAGGGGCGGTGCCGGGGGCGCCGCTAGGGGGGGCCCTGGCGCCGATCCGAGAAATCCGCGCAAACCTCCGAAGGTTTACGCTTCTGTAGTGTTTCTCCTCTTCGATGGAAGGCTCGCACGGGGCCTTTTGGAAGGCCCAAACCCACGCTCACGGCCAGAGTGAGAGCCGCGACGCGCGTCTGCGCAGCCACGGCGTCACCCCTCTGGGTCTCTGAGAGTGGTGCCCCGTCGTCAGCACCGCCGCCCCGCTGTTGCCACGCCGCCTTTCTCTTTCTAACGCACCTGGTCGCAGCTCTGAGCCGAAGTCCTCGGTTGCGCAAAGCTGAGCCGAAGCTAACAAAAGTGAACGGAGTACACGCGGGAGAAGGAGTCGGAGTGGGAATCGGAGCGGCAGTGGAAATAGGAGCAGCGGGGCCCACGAAAGTGAGCGTGGGGATGTCAAGCTGGATTGCAGCCGAAAGAATCATGCTACAATTGCGATGGCAACAGAAAGCGATGACGAATTGCTGGCGCGCGCAACTGCGCCCGGGTGCAGCGAAGTCATCTTCTTACACCCATCCGGGATCGAGGCTGCGTCGGTGAAGTCGTCCTCTCCGAGCAAGCCTCCCACGGCGAAGCCAACTTGACCCAAATGCTTGACGTAAAAATTCAAATACCGGATGCCGCTTTCCGTTTGGCCATGGGTAACCTTGATCTCGACTTTACCAATAGTCAACCATCTTGGACTCTCCTTGGAGCCACTGAGCGCATCGTATTGGTAGCCTCTTTCTTGCCCGGCTTCCGCCCACTGGCCTGTAACATTCAACGTTTGGAAATACATGTCCGCGCAGCCCCTACCCATTCGGCGCGCCTCGGCCTCAACTCGAAGCAAAGCGTTTTCAGCCCGCACCCCGCGAGGGATGTTGATGAGGACATGAGCGCCAGGCTTCATCAAATCGAACCTCTGACCGAACATATTCTGCAGGTGTGGGTCTCCAGTGGCTCCAGCGCTGCTCACCGTTGGTGCGGCCGTTGGTGCAAGCGTAGGCGCCAGCGTTGGTCCTGGTGTCGTTGCCTGCACGGACTCAGAGACGCAAAGTTGCCCGTATGTCCACTTGTCGTAGCGCACATTGATGCTGTCCATGTTGAAATGAGATGGCAGGCCCGTGTTCGTTTTGTATTCGTCGCCGTGCCCTGAGGCGCGAATTGAAGCGTCCTCAGATCCTTTAGAGTCCTCTGTGCTGAATTCTGAAAATGTTCAAGGGCTGGGGGGGCCAAATTCCCTTCTGGGCGCTCTGGCGCGCTCCTGGGGTCGGTCGCATGGACTTTCCGAAATCCAGACGGTCCCAAGACGGAACAAGAGAGCCCCACGAAGGGCCCAACACGGCCCAAGATGGTGCCGAGACGTCCCAAAAGCGCTCCAAAACGCCCAAGATGGCCCCAAGACGGCCAGGAAGGCCACCAAGACGTCCCAGGAGGGCTCCAAGAGGTCCCCCCGGAGGGCCCCGAGATGCCCAAATCGCTAACTTTCTCAAGGTTCTTGAAGGATCTCAGTGTTCTCGCCTTTTCGGGCTTTCGACTCTGTGAGACGGCACAAGAAGCTCCAGAGGTCCCCACAAGACGACCCAAGAGGCCCTCAAGAGCGCCCCAAGACGGCCCAAGATGGCTCCAAGACTGCCCAACGGACCCCCAAGACGGTTCAAGAGGCCCCAAGTCCCCCCGCAAGCTCGAGGACTCTTCCAAGAGGCTCAAATCAGGCCCCAAGAGGCCCCCAAAAGACCCCCGAGAGGCCCCCAAGACACCCCGAAACCGAATCCAAGAGGCTTCCGAGAGGCCTCCCAAGAGATCCCCACAGGCCTCCCAGAGGCCTCCAACCTACAACCCACCCACAGTGGTGGGATGGACCGAAGGCCACTGCACCCGCCGCCCACTGTGGATTGCCCAGGGGTGCACGGCGTGCTGGATGTCCAGTTTGCTGGTTCTTTTAGAACTCACTCCAGAGTGTCGGCCCAGCCCGCCGGCCACCCTGAAGGCCGCGCAGATTCCCCAAAAACCTCTCCAAGACGGCCCAGATGGTCTATCAGACGGCCAAGATGGCCCAAGATGACCCAAGATGGCATCCAAGACGCCTCCAAGACGGCCAAGATGGCCTCAAGGGAGCCCAAGATAGCCCCAAGATGGCCACCAAGACGGTCTCAGGATGCCTCCAAGAGGGCCCAAGACGGCCCAAGAGGCCCCCAAGAGGCCTTCAAGACGGTCCAGGAGGCCCCCAAAAAGTCCAGCAGGAAGGCCCGAAGAAGCCGAAATCATTGATTTTCCTAGAGGATGTTGCCCATTGCTTCCAAGCGGCTTCCCGACGGCCCAAGATGGCACAAGAGGCCCCACAGATTGCCCCAGGATCGCCCAAGAGGCCTCCAGGATGGCCCCAGGACGGCCCAAGAGGCTCCCACGACGGCCCCCCAAGGGCCCCAAGACGGCTCGAGAGGCCCCCAAGACGCCCGAGATGGCCTTCAAGACGACCCTGAAAGCACCCCAAGAGGGCCCCGAGACGGCCCAGAGAGGCTCCCAAGTCGGCGTCCGAAGGCGTCAAAGCGGCTAGGAACGCCGTCAGACGATCAAAGAAGCCCCGAAGAAGCCCCCAAAGGCCCCCAAGATGACCAAGGAGGCCCCCCAGGGGCTTCCAAGAGGCCCCCAGGAAGCTCCCAGGAGGCCCCAAGAATGACCCAAGAAGCTCCCAAGAGGTCTCCTCATACTTCTCTTCATCCTTCGTTTTCCTCCCTCTCCTCATCCTCCTCTTCCTCCCCCACGTGTTCCCCGAAGGGCTTCCACAACGGATGGGGGACGGTATGGTCCAATTGCGTGGCCAAACTTTGCCCGAATGTTTGGCAACATAGGCGTATCCTAGGAGGTAGGGGGCGGCGGTGATTCGCCATGGGGCGTCTTCGATCCGCCGCCCCCTGGTGATTCTCATCACAAGGGTGCACGGAGAGCCAGGCTTCTGAGGGTCGTGGGTTCTTTCTTACAGAACTCTCAGTGGGATCTCGGCACAACCCGCTGGCCGTGCGGAAGACACGACTGGCCGTGCGGAAGACGCGGCGTGCCAAATTTCTGAATGGCTGTGGCTCTTCTTAAAGGTGCCCGATGGTGTTTCTGATGCGCCGGCCACGCGGAAAAAAAAAACAAGTCACCGGTCTTGCCTCCCACAAGGACCCAAAAATATCCCAGGTCGTCGGTCTTCCCGCTGCAGGCGGCCCCAAGATAGCATGCAAGACTGCCAGGATGGTCCCCAGGACGGCTACGATGGCCCCAAGGTAGCCCCGAAGAACTCCCAGTAGGCTCTAGGCCGATCGCGCCGCCCACCTGAAAAAGTTAGTTCTCCATTGGCCTACCTCTGAAGGCGGCCCCGAGATGGCCTCCAAGACGGCTCAGATGGCCTTCGAGACGGCCATGGTGCCCCCAAGAGAGCCCAAGACAATCCGAAAGTGTCTCCGAGACGCGCCGAGATGCGCCTACGTTGACTCAAGATGGCCCAAGAGGCCCCCACGAGGCCCTCAAGACGGCCCAAGAGGCCTCCACGAGGACCTCCAGGAAGGCCCAACGAGGCCCAAACCAATGGTGTTCCGTCGGTGTCTGAAGGGTTTGTGCATCTGCTCATGTTCGGCTTTCCGACGGCCCAAGGCAGCACAAGAGGCCACCACAGTGGCCCCAAGAGCGCCCAAGAAGCCTCCGAGATGGCCCCCTGGCGACCCAAGAGGCCCACATGACGGCCCCCAGGATGCCCCAAAGCAACCCAGGAGACCCCCAAGACGCTCAAGATGGCCCTGCGTCGGTTCAGAGAGGCCCCCCAAGACGACGTCAGACGGGCCAGGAACGCCCTCAAACGGCCAAAGAGCATCCCAAGAAGCCTCCAAAGGCCCTCGAGAGGCCCAAGGAAACCCCAAGCGTGCCCCAAGAGGCTCTCACGAGACCTCCTCCTCCTCCTCCTCCTCCTCCTCCTCCTCCTCCTGCTCCTCCTCCTCCTCCTCCGCATCCTCCTCCTCCTCCTTCTGTTTGTTTCTCCCTCTCCCCTTATCCTCCTTTCTACCACACATGTTCCCCGAAGGATTTCCACAACGGGTGGAAAACACACGGTCCGACAGGTTGGCCGAGCTCGGGCCGCAACGTTCGGCCGCAGAGGCGCTTCGAAAAGTCAGGGGGCGGCGGCGATTCGCCGGTAGGGTCTTCGACAGTAGGACACAGTACGCAGTTGCTGTCCATTCCGCACCGTAAGTGTTGGGATAATGACCCACGTCGTCAACGCACCCTGAGAGGCCAACGATGAGGCCTGTCGCAATGAAGTACTCGCACGCTGCAACGCACTCGTCTTGGTCGCCCCTTGAGACGGCGTACCCCGACGCGCACGTCGAGCTGCCACGCGAGACTGTGTATGGCGCTGTCGTGGCCCGTGCAACCGTATCATTAGCACTGAGACCTGCCCTGATAGACATCGCGGTGGGCATGCCGCTAGCACATGCCAGGACACACAGGATGGAGGTTCTGGAGGATGCCATGTTGTCGCTAGTTCAATTTCAGTACGCAAGGCGAGTGTTGGAGCCAGCTGGACTGATTGCAGAAAGCTTGATTCAAAATGGCCATTGCCACGCAGCGTTGATGCGAGTATCGACCAGGGCCAGCAAGAGTCCAAATGCAATCGCAGTGCAAGAGGGTTGCGGCGCACCCCACAGACGCCAGTTGCTCGGCAGGCTAAAACATGGCAGACGATGGCAACCTCTACTTCAGCCAGAGCTTCGGAACGACACATCTGCAGCAATGGTGGGCTGGGTACTGAAGAAGAGACCACTGCAGCAAGAAGCTGTCGGAGGTCCGCGCGGATTCCTTGGATCGGCGCTGGAGCCCCTTCCCCGGCGAGCGGAGCGCGCCAGGGGCGGCGCTGGAGGCGCCGTCACTCTCCTTCCCTGCGGGCGGGCGGCCTTTCGCGCACGAGCCACTGAAACCGGGGAGGCCCTGCGAGACGCCTGGGAAGCAGTGGGAGCTCGGGGAGACCTTGGCAGGCACGGGGAAGCCCTGCGCCCGGAGGGGGGGGGGGGGGGCTTCCCCTCTGGGAAGCTCATGGGGAACCCTGGGAGGGCGCTACACTGAAACCCTGGGGGCCCCGGGGAAACCTTGGGAGGCCGCGTCGAGGAGGCCGCGGGAATCATGGCGGGGCCCCCCCCCAGCACCCAGCACGACAGAGGGCATTGAAAAAGCCTGGGCTAGAGAAGACTGCACAAGACTTGACTTTGCGACGGTCGGATGCTTTTATGGATTGGCGCTGGGCCGCCTCCCTGGCGTGCGGAACGCCGCCAAGGGGGCGGTGCCGAGGGGCGCGCTAGGGGGGGCTCCAGCGCCGGATCGAGAAATCCGCGCAAAACCTCCGCAGGTTTAACGATTCTGCAGTGTTTCTCCTCTTCGGATGGAAGGCTCGCCTCACGGGGCCTTTTGAAGGCCCCAAACCCACGCTCCACGGCCAGACGTGAGGCCGCGACGGCGCGGTCTGCGCAGCCACGGCGTCACCCCTCTGGGTCTCTGTGATGGTGCCACGTCGTCAGCACCGCCGCCCCCCGTATTGCCACGCAGCCTTTCTCTTTCTAACGCACCTGGTCGCAGCTCTGAGCCGAAGTCCTCGGTTGCGCAAAGCTGAGCCGAAGCTAACAAAAGCGAACGGAGTACACGCGGGAGAAGGAGTCGGAGTGGGAATCGGAGCGGCAGTGGAAATAGGAGCAGCGGGGCCCACGAAAGTGAGCGTGGGGATGTCAAGCTGGATTGCAGCCGAAAGAATCATGCTACAATTGCGATGGCAACAGAAAGAGATGACGAATTGCTGGCGCGCGCAACTGCGCCCGGGTGTAGCGAAGTCATCTTCTTACACCCATCCGGGATCGAGGCTGCGTCGGTGAAGTCGTCCTCTCCGAGCAAGCCTCCCACGGCGAAGCCAACTTGACCCAAATGCTTGACGTAAAAATTCAAATACCGGATGCCGCTTTCCGTTCGCCCATGGGCAATCTTGATCTCGATTTTACCAATAGTCAACCATCTTGGACTCTCCTTGGCGCCACTGAGCGCATCGTATTGGTAGCCTCGTTCTTGCCCGGCTTCCGCCCACTG